ATATGAACAAATAAGAACTCTTCAGAAAGGAAACAGTGGATTTGAAATTTCTCTGTTGGAGCATCGCGGTACTTTTCCCTACAAGTTACTCACTCACCTCCTTTGTGATACTGGAAGATTTCGAGATGCTCTCTATGTTGAGGAGCTGGGACGAGCAAGAGTCCTCGCACAACTCATGGCAGACAAGTACTCCTCTGAAAGCCACATCTCAGCTGATCCACGATCATGGTTCGGGATTGAAAACATCGCGAGAAGAGAAAGTAACTGTGTTTTTTTGTACATTTCGTATGAAGATCGGCAAGTTCTTCTCTGGGTATTGAAGGCAAATGGAGACATTTTCTTTCGAAAAACAGACCAAGTGAAAATAGACACTCTTATAGCTGAGCAAGTTTGTGAAGTGGAAGGAGTTTTCAAAAAGAGCGCCAAATGCTTTGGTGTTTTACCCGCAGCGAACTGCGAAGACCGATCGCTGGATGACAAGGTGACGACATCTCTTCATGAAGAGAGCCAAGCAAATTTGCGAGGTGACGAAACCAAAGGTACCGGACGAAGTCATTATTTGTGCTACGAATGGATCGTCGCACCTGTGGCAGATTTACTCACAGAGCCCGAAATCATCATTGTACCGGATCGTTTCTCGTATCGAGTCCCATTTGCTGCCTTGCGTGATGAACAAGCCGGAAAGTATTTATCGGAGAAGTACAGAATACGCATCGTCCCTTCACTGACAACTCTCCGGCTCATTCAAGAATCTCCAGCAGACTATCACAGTCAAACTGGCGGACTGATTGTGGGTGATCCTACGGTTGGCAAAGTGCAATACAATGGACGTCTCATTGACATTAAACCATTGTTCTGTGCAAGTAAGGAAGCAGAGATGGTTGGTCAACTTCTGGGAGTTCAGCCTTTATTGGGAAGTCGCGCAACAAAGCAGGCGGTTCTTCAAGAAATACCTTCAGTGAGTCTGATACATCTTGCCGCACATGGAGATCCCGAAAGAGGAGAGATTGCCCTCTCTCCTCAATGTACTACTAACAGTACTCCACAAGAGGAAGACTACCTCCTGACAATGTCCGACATTGAAGGAGTTCAAGTACGAGCTAAACTGGTAGTACTCAGCTGTTGTCACAGTGGGCGTGGATTGGTTAAAAAAGAAGGAGTTATTGGAATCGCTCGGGCATTCTTAGCATCTGGTGCACGTTCAGTGTTGGTAGCATCGTGGGCTATAGAAGACAAAGCAACGGCGAAGCTCATGAAACATTTCTATAAACACCTTGTGCGTGGAGAGAGTGCCAGTGAATCTCTTCACCAGGCCGTTCAATGGTTGAGAAGCAATGGATTCTCCAAACCATCCCAATGGGCTCCGTTTGTGTTGATGGGGGATAACGTGACATTTGATTTTATGAAAAAAGGGTAGGTCTGATTAGAATGAGCAATTTTCTACAATAAATAACAATAAATCGACAATCTTAAAGTCACTTTCGTATCAAGCATGGTATTTTCGACAAGTTTGGACAATCATAACCGATGGCATTGAAGAAGAAAGTAATTTATTTAATTGGAAATCTGTCCTGTTTACTTTAAAGATGAAATAGCGACAAATTTTTATAATGTTTTTTCAGGAAAGAAGAACTCGAGGAGGAGAACGAGGCGGAGAAGAAACAGAGTGACTACTGATCCTACACAAAGATTCTTCTTCCTAAACATTGTCGTTCAATGGACACTGGTATTACTTTGCGAAGACATTTTCAATTTTTTTATTTAGTCAAGTAGTAGATGTTGGGTGCTTTTGTAGACAGGGCTTAATCGAAAATGCGAAAACTGAACGCAGGAAATTAGCTTAATGTAAAAAAATATAAGAATGTGGCAAAGTTTCGTCAAAACTCAAAATTAATCCTTAATTTAAATCATTATAATTCTGTTTTCAATTCTCCCGCTGCACGCACACGTGATCATTAAAGAGTGATTAAGACTGTTCACAGGTGCAGGAGATGATAACATAACAAACTAACGGAAGAGGGAACAAAAAGTGCCGAGATACTGAAGACACAATCAAAAAAAAAAAGAGAAAGTAATTATGTAAAAATCAGACAGAGAAGAGAAAAATGCTTGAGAATTACCGCAAAAATCAAACAGTGTTGTGAACAGGGCGCTACATATTAATCTAAAAGTGAAGTGGAGAAGAGAACAAACAGAGTACAATATACTAAAAGAAAAGTATTAACAAATAGAGAAGAAGAGAAACGGTGAGCGAATTATTGAGATAAAATTAGGAGAAAACATTGCGCGAGATACTAACGTCAAACAGAAGAGTGCAAACAGTTGGTAGGATATGAACGTGACAATCAGCCAGAATTAACCCTTTAACTCCCAAGATCTCATAGTATTTCTCCCTACTGTCTGCCATAAAATACTTATGAATTCAATTTGGAGAATTTGGTATTGGATCAGCCCGTAGTTCCCTAATCGAGTTTTCTTCTTTATTCTCCTCACCTGTCTGCTTGATTCTGTGTTGATATTGTAAGGAGAAATTCTGTCTTGGTCACTCATGGGAGTTAAAGGGTTAAGGAAAAGAACAGAGGGCTCGATTCTAACATAGGAAAGAAATTTAAGTTAAAACAAACAGTGATGTAGATATTAACTTGGAAATCAAACAGAGACGAGAAAAGCATTGTGAAAGATTTAAATGAAATATTTAATCGGAGGAGAGAACGAGTTATGCACAAGATTCAACTGAACAAAACTACCAAACAGAGCAGTGAAAAAAAAACAGTTCTCAATATAATCGAAACAAACAAAGTAAAAAGAAGAAACAGTGGACTGGACAAACAGTAAAATCATAGGCATGCAATACATGCAAGAGTTGTTTTTAAGGCTGGGTGAATTGAGGTGGGACACTGTGTAACTGATGTTTTCATTTTTGTTAAAGAAAAAGAGCCTTAACCTCAAAAAGAACGAAAATAACGCATTAGTTAACTTAAAAGACAGGAAAAAAAGTTCCTATTAGTCTGAAATAAACTCACACGTAGTTATTTCGTGGTCCATTGTCTATGTGGTCTGAGTAATTAGAAACAAAAATAAACTTACTTTACCTTAAGAGAGAGGGGGAGGGAGGGAGGGAAGGGGGGAGAGAGGGGGAGACAGAGGGGAGAGAGGGGGGGGGGAGAGAGAGAGGGGAGAGAGAGAGAGAGAGAGAGAGAGAGAGGGGAGGGGAGGGGAGAGAGAGGGGAGAGAGAGGGAGAGAGAGAGGGAGAGAGGGAGAGAGAGAGAGAGAGAGAGAGAGGGGGGGAGAGAGGGGGGAGAGAGAGGGAGAGAGAGAGAGAGAAAATTTATTTTTATTAACCGCTTTTTTCGGCCCATACAACTTGATTATGGGGGAAATTTTTAGTTCCTCTATTTTGTCCCAACTTCAAGATCGTGGCTCATTACTGTTCCTAATAATATACATGAAAAAATTACTCAGTTCGGATTGGTTAAGATAAATGCAGTTTTCAGGTAATTCAATGCAGAAGAAGGCTAATTCAGTGCAAAGAAGTAACAAACCAGACATTCTGATTGGTCAGTAATCAAAGAAACTTACAGATAGCCAATCAAATGCGAGCCTTGGATGTCGCAACATTTGGATACGCTGAAAATTTGCAAGCGAAACAATGGCCGGCGTTTCAAGTAGGTTTTCTTTCGCCACCGCAACAACACGACAGCAGCTGAAAAACAGCTCTAACAACGAAAACACCGTAAAAAGCACTACTCTTTGGTTATCGGTTCGGAAAAAGTGGTGTTTAGAGAAGGGAATTGCCGAGGAAATTGAAAATTACGAGAAGACTCAGCTTAACACTTTGCTCGAGCGATTCCACGCCGAAATTAAAAGCAAACATGATTAAACCTCGCAAACGACGATTCCATTTCATCGAAAGTGATTCGGTGTTTAGCCGAACTTTGAACTTTTTGTGCCCTAAAGATGTGAAAATATCATTGTATATTATTGTTTTGATCGTACGCGGTTGTTTTGCCCGAACGCACCGTTTGAATAAATTATTTTTTCACTTGATGCGCGCGCTTTGCCTCTGCACAATTATGATAAGCTATCTCGTATTTTTTCATGTATGTTATTGATACGTAATCACATGATTTTTCTTGTACAATTTGAAATAAATAAGCACTTGTGAACTGCACTCACTTGGTGAGTGACCAATTGACATCTACGTATTGACAAACGGCAGTTGAATCCCTCGGAGGGCATCTAAATGTCCACATTCATTCTGTGGTGAGACTGGGAGCACATGCGAAAGTTCGGAGTGTCCGACATATCTCCAGCCTTCTTCTCAGATAACGCTCGGGTCCAAACGTTCCTTTACAATGAAATAATACAAAGTTTATGTTCTTGGGCATAACTATGTATTGCGCCCGACTTAGAGTCATTTTAGCCCTTTCCGTTAGGCGAAGGTTATGACTCTGAGAAGGGCCCAAAAACACAATCATGCTTCAGAACATAAATTATTTTACTATCATTTACACTTTTGGAGGGTATTGAGAAAATAAAAACCGAAGAATTGGGAAAAAAATTCAGAAGGAAGGAGAGGGGATTCCGGATGGAGTGGGTCAGTAGTATTCTGGCTATCCGCGGCCCCTTCCCAACACCGTACAAACATGGCCGGTCAGAAGGCTTCACTGCAGGCTAACAATGGCAGAGCGTTACAAGACATTGCAAAGCAAGGCTATACGTGGAAAAGCCCACGAGGGAAGAACTGGGATATTGTAAGCTTCCAAAGTTCACTGCGCGAATGAAGTGGTATTCAGGTGAGGTTCGTTGAACAATTTGGAGGGCCAAATCATCGGAATGGACCGAAGTTAAGACGATAGAATATAGCATCCTTTGTGACATTCTTGCTAAATTTAGCCAGTTTGAGACCCCGACAAAGAGGACTGGAGACTACTTACTCCTTGCATGTGATTGGTCGATGTCTTGGAACACCAAAATTTAAAGGTGAAAAAGACGACTGATTCCTTTCGATCAAAGCTTCCATTTCTTTCAAACGTTTTTAAACTTTTATTTCGATAGAGCGATGGAAGCTAGTGAGTTAGAATGCTGCTTGACAGTGGAACACCTCAATTCCAATGGTGTGGTCACGAAACGGCGAACGTACAAGAGTATTACAGTTGTCTTGGGTCGAGATGAATTTCGCGACATCGCTCTCCGAATTGTCAGTAGTCGATCTCCGTTGGGAAAGACTTTTCTCCTGAAGGAATTAACCATTCACAAACGGTTTTTACAGGAAGGGAAGGCTACAATCAAACTTCTAACACAGAAGATACAAATAATGTTTTCGAATTGTCCACCGAATCAGCTCGCAGCGTTTTTAAAATGTCTGTCATTGAAACTTGCTCAAAGTAAACAAAATGGAATTGCGAGTAACAGAAGACGGCTTCTCAGTGATAGAGCGCGGTCGTTTGAAAACATAAGCCCTCTTACAGACAAGGATTTCACAGTAGGCTGTAAGAAAAGACCACTAGAAGATAAGAACGGTGTGACACCGAAGCGAATTAAAACTACAGGTAAAGAAAGCGATTCGAGTTTTGGAAACGAAGAACACAACGGAGCGGCAAGAAAACGTCTCAGCTCTTTGAGTTCTTTTCAAATGAATCTTATACCTGAGCAAATGGCAGTGGTGAACGCCATAAGAGCTGGAAAGAGTGTGTTTTTTACTGGTGGTGCCGGAACTGGCAAGTCATATCTCTTGAAACGTTTGATAACACTGTTACCACCTCAGAGTACCTTTATAACTGCTAGTACTGGAGCAGCAGCTTGTCATATTGGTGGGACTACGCTTCATGCATTTGCAGGTGTGTTTCCTTTGCAAGAGTGCTGAGGAGCGTTTTCCTTTTTATTGTAGTACTCATACATTTGCGCTAGACATATAATTGATGGCAGCAGTGAAATTGGTCGATTAATGGCTCTGGGGAGAAAGGAAGGGATGAAACGTTGACGAAGTAAAGAATTCATTAGTCTTCGAGCAGGCCCTCCTTTTCGGTTAGGTCTGTCGCGCGTGTCATAAAAACTCAGTGGAAAAAAATTGATGTTAGTGCGCCGCGCGGAGCTCTTAGAGTGAGGCCCCCAAGTTCAACGAACAACCACTGACATGCAGAAAAGAATGTTGAGGGGGTGTAAAGGGGGTTACTTTGCCAGCAGATTCGCCTTCCTTCCTTCCTTACCAGAAATAAGTGAACTCACACTCCACCCACTTTTCTCTACTTGAAGGAGACTCTGCTGGCAGGGTAATGGAAATGAAAGACTCGGCTTGCAGAACATTGAGGAGAAGAGTTGTTTTCAGACTAGGGTGAGTGTCAGGGAGACATGATGCCAGGCAGAATTGTGTACATCTAACCTCTGGCCCCTTTCTCCACGGAAGACCTCACCCATCACAGGCCACCATCCTGAAGTCTCTGGGTAGAGCTGTCACATAGACTCTATAGGATATGATTTGTGATATTGTGGTTTTTTTTTTTTTGAGAAAAAAATAATGTCACTCACATTTTGTCCAGGTCTTCAATATAACGGTGAGAAACCTTCTCGTAGGTTGGAACAACCTATGAGGTAAGGCTTTCAAGAGGAATGTCATGCAGCCACTTTAATTTCTGTTGATGGGTTTTCAAAATTTGATTAGTTTTCATGGTCTTGTGCATGACAGGTATTGGCAGTGGAAGTGCACCTCTTGCTCAGT